AGTTACAGACAGTTGTGAACTGCCTTATGGGTGCTTGAAATCAAACCCTGGTCCTGTGAAAGAGCAGTCAGTACTATTAACCACTGAGCCATCTCTCCAGCCCCTGTATATATGCTTCTTTATTCACACATATAACAAGTAATGTCACAAATTCCAAGTTGGTGACCACACAATATACGAATTCATATTTTCCCTGTACTAGCCTTTACTGTTTCCAAAGTGTTTTCACTTACATTATTTCCTGTCAAAATAAGTCTGGAGACCATGCATAGTAGCTCATGCCTGTAATCCCAGCACTCAGTAGGTGAAGTAGGAGAATTCTGAGTTCGAGGCCAGTTCCAGCTCCATAGCTCCATAGCTCCAAACCAGCCTAGAATTCATGGCCAAACCTTGTCTCAAACAAAAACAAAAACCCTGGTCTGGAGATGTATTTACACTGCCTGGCATTTACAAGGTGCTGGGACCCAATCTTAGTACCATAGGAAAACCCTGAGCTGGACAGGATGGCGCCTGTCTGTAATGTCAGGGCTTGAAAGAGTCAGAAGATAAGTGAGTTCCAAGTCGCCTGACCCACAGAGACCCTGTCTCAATAAATCAAGAAGTCCATTTCTAAAATGTGTTCAAATCCAGTCTTAAGACTTAAAATTAGGCAAAAAGCAGGAATGCTGGTTCATACCTGCAATCCTAGCACATGGGATTGAATGAAGGAGGGTCAGGAGTTCAAGGCCAGCCTGGCCTATATGAGACGTTGTCTAAAAAAAAAAAAATTAAAAATTTCAAAACCCAGCCAGGCAGCAGTGGTGGTGGTGGTGTATGCCTTTAATCCCAGCACTCGGGAGGCAGAGGCAGACAGATTTCTGTGAGTTTGAGCTAGGCCTGGTCTACAGAGTGAGTTCTAGGAAAGCCAGGGCTAAACAGAGAAACCCTGTCTCAAAAAACAAAACACAAAAAAGAAAGAGCAAACAAACAAACAAACCCTAAAACATCCAGGTAGGTCCTACCTTCCTTGTGGAAAACATTATTTGACTGAGACACCCAAGAACGCTACTATAGGTGCAAATTGGGAAATACGCCTGAAGGAAATCAGGCTTTAAAAAAGGAGAAAAGGCCGGGCGGTGGTGGCGCACGCCTTTAATCCCAGCACTCGGGAGGCAGAGCCAGGCGGATCTCTGTGAGTTCGAGGCCAGCCTGGGCTACCAAGCGAGTCCCAGGAAAGGCGCAAAGCTACACAGAGAAACCCTGTCTCGAAAAACCAAAAAAAAATAAAAATAAAAAAGGAGAAAAGGGGTCGGGCGGTGGTGGCGCACGCCTTTAATCCCAGCACTTGGGAGGCAGAGCCAGGCGGATCTCTGTGAGTTCGAGGCCAGCCTGGTCTCCAAAGCGAGTTCCAGGAAAGGCGCAAAGCTACACAGAGAAACCCTGTCTCGAAAAACCAAAAAAAAAAAAAAAAAAAGGGATAAAGGGGTGGGGGCTGAGGAAATCGGTGGTGCTTGTAAACAGAAAAACAGAAAGTCAGGTATGGTAGCTCACACCTGTAATCCCACACCTGGGAGGCTGAGACAGGAGGAACACGCAAACTCATGGTCAGCAGGAGCCACAGAAGAGACTCTTTCTCAAATCCTTGGTAAGGAGGGGAAAGTAGAGGTGGTGTTCCCGGGTGGGCAACTTAGTCAGCTAGAGCAGTAAAACTGGGCTGACTAGACGCATGCCTACAGAGATGGACCCAAGTTCAAGTTCCAGGTCCCTGAGAATCCGATCCAATGACATACAGGAGTACTAGTCAAACTCCTACTAATCAAACTCCTTGCATCATTATGGCGTGTGTGTATCAACAGCTCAAGGGCGATGTTGGGATAAAACAGGATGATGATTTTTATGTAGAGTACAAAGTCTTCATCTCCCGAATACGGTACGTTTGCTCATTAGTTCACCGTGCTCCTCAATCACAGCACGTTCAGCATGGAGAGATGAATGAAGGTGTAAAACCTGGCACTTTCTCTTCTTGGTGGTCCAAAGAGGAGAGAGAGAGATGATGTTCCTCTCTACTACTTGTCTCCTGAAAACACACACAATACAGAAGAAGGAACACTTCGTTCCTTTGAACAACACCCCATATTTCCCAACAATCTGGCACATGCCCCTGTACCTCAAAAATGCTTCCAGGAAGAGGAACTATTAGCTATGCTCAGTCTCCTAGGGCCAAGTTCCAGACCCAGAAACAAAAAAGCTTTCTGCACGGGAAAATTAACCCTTTGGGAACTGGACCAGGGGTTGTCAACCAAGCAGAGAGCCAAAGAGCCAGGAGAGCGAGGTCTGGGATTATTCCAGGCCTAGCTCTGCCACCCACCAGACAACTTCAAATACACCATTGTAACCTCTTGGTTTTAGGTTTCTCCAACTGTCAAATAGAGACGATGATACCTGCCTTGTCTTACATATTAACCCGAAAATAAGACGAGATAATCAATATGAAAGGGGATTCTAGACTGCTCTTAGTTGTAGCAACAGACTGGCACAATAAATTCACAGGGACCAGGGGAAATGTTTGAAATTGCTTGTTCCTTCTTTTCAACTTCTGGGAAGCAGGCCCTGCCACAGGGTCTATTGGAGACAGAGCGTAACAATACTAACGCACCCCTCACCTTCCCTTATCACTATCCAATTCCATTCTTTCTTGGGAAATACTAGCAGCCAGCAACACTGTTATTAGCTAAAACTATTGTTATAAGAAGTACCTGCCAATATTCTCACAGGTCAGTCTCTGAGAACAGTGGCCTTGGTAACCGCCACATTTGCTACCGGTTCAGATGAAGCTAGCTTCTTACTAGGAAGTGTGCCGATCCAAAACACGCTCAATCCTTCTTGTTTTCGGCTCCCTCCCGTTCCCTGCTCTCTACCCACCAACTGTTCTGCCTCCTTGGGCTGGGGTGGGCTTCCCGGTGTATAAAGTGTGTGGATGGACCGTGCGTGCGAGGGAGCGGGGCTGCAAATCATTCAGAGGCAAGGATGTAAGGAATGTAAGAGTCCTCCACGCCACGGAGGGGTGGGGAGGGGAAAGGAGCGGCGAAGGAATAAAAGAGAAAGACAAGGCACGGGAAAGAAGCCAAGCTATGGCGCTTGGAGGGCGGAGGTTTGGGTTCCGCGGTTCCAGCCAAGGCTAGCCCCCAGAACGTTCCCTTCCTCGCCGGCAGGCCCGTCAATCATTGCCATTTAAACTCCACGTTGTCCCCGGGCCCGGGCGGTCTTGCTCCTCCCCGGTCCTCAGGCCAGCCCAAGGCCACTCCCGCACTCCCCAAGGCTTCCCTACTCCAAAGGACCTTCCTAAGCTCCAGAGCCCCCAGCTCACCCCCGACTCCTCCCAGCGGAGCTCCCTTCCTCCATTGTCCCTCCTCCTCCCCACCCTCCCTCTCGACCCCCAGCACCTCCGACCCAGGCCGGCGCCGATCCACCGGGAGGGACCTCGCCCCCTCCGCTCCGCTCCCCTCCCACACCCTGGGTTACAAGCTCGCTCGGGCGCATTACGCACCGCCCTCCTGGACGTGGCCTGGGTTCTCTGGACGCGGGGCCAGGCTGGAGCTGCGGCCACGGAGGCCGCCGGGTAGCCCGGGTGCCGGGTCTCAGCCTTCCCTGGAAGGGGAAGGGGAAGGGAAGGATGGGGAAGAAGGTTCCGACCACTCCTGGTTGCCTCGGACTAACCCTTGGCCACGCCCACTGCTGCTACGCAACGGGGCGGAAGCCCGTCACCAAGCCCCGCCCCTTTGTTTAACTCGGTGGCGACCGGACGCTCCGAGCGAGCGGCCTGCGGGAGACCGGGGCTAGCGAGGCCTCCGCTCCGGGCCGGAAGTCCCTAAGGACCCCTGCTGGGACCTTGTGGCCCCTTGGGAGGGAGGACTCCGGGTTCCTCAGGTGTGAAGATCGGGGCCACCCTGAGTGCGCCGCCCTCCAAGTCACCTCGTGTTCCATAGTGCACGGCTCCGGTGCTAGGGCTGATGCAACGCTGGGGCCAGATCGCCGCGGGGCAGCCGGTGTGACAGCGTGACCTGCTGCTGCTGTCCGGCCAGCCCCTCGGTTGGCAGGGCTGTGGTCAGCATCCCGGAGCCTCCCGACCCTGTGACTCACAGTCATGGGAACGGAGGGCGGCGGGGTGCTGAGGGAGGGAGTGCCTCACCGCAGAGCTTTGATCGAGGGTGTTCTAAGGGTCGCCCGCCTCCCAGCCACACGCTCCGGAAGTGTCCGCCGCGGCCCTTCAAAAACTCAAGAGTGCCCTAAGGTGGCAACGCCGTGATTAGGGGAGTGTGGGTGGGAAGAGAACCCGGGGAACTTCAAGGGAAGTCATGGTGGAGCCTAATGCGCTCTGGGATAGGTAAGGAATTAAGCAAGACAAGAAATGAAATTACATTACCTCTTAGGCTAACCTGGTGTCAAATAATATTTGTTATATTGTCTTTTTTAAAAGGGAAATTCACATTAGTACATATGTAACTGGTGTATTTATAAGAATACGGAGCTAGTTACCTTTGAGGGCAATCTGACAATCTGGGTGGTTTCATGCTCGAGGAGACTTTAAGGTCCAGCGAGAGAAGAAAACAGGAACCGGATATGCCTTGTGAACCAAATGAGACCTGCTTTTTATGTCCCAGGTTTCATTTCTTCCAAAGGAGGCTCAGTCTGCCTGTTGTCTTTCTATTGCATAAAAATGCCACTTGTTCCAGAGGCCTGGGCCCAACTGTTTAGTGTATTAAAGATGAAGACCCTGTCTGTGTAAGTTCCTGCCATGTCCTAGGCATCGCTTTTTTACCTAACTTTCCATTTTCAGGGGTAAAACGGAGTCTATATGTTTAATGGCTGAGAAAAGAGGCGAAGACACAGGCTGGGATCCAGACTTTGGTCCGCTGCATTCCAAAGCCCTTGGACCTTTTTTCCCTTGTGCGACTACCTGAAAAGGGGGAAAAACAAAAAAATCATGAGAGCCTGAAGTGCATTTTCTGAGCCGAAGGGAAGCTCTGGCAGCGGAGGCGCCCCCTGGTGGTCCGCCCGTCTTTCCTCCTACGGAACTGCTCTCCGCCGAGGCTCCTTTAATGCCTAAAACCGCCCCGTTCGCGGCGCGCGAATATCGGAGCCTGATTGGATGGGCGCTGGCCGGAGGCGGGGCGTCCCGAGAGCAGCTCGCTCCCTATTGGCCGGAGGAGGTCAGGGGACACTTCCGGGAATGTGTGCGCTCCCGCGTTCCACTCGGCAGCATCCGGCGGCGGCCAGCCCCCTGGCTCCCCCTGCGGGTGGCTCGGCGGCGTGCACAGTCCCGCCCGCTGGCTGGGTGGGTGGTGGGCTGCGCGTGGGGGAGGGGATGGGCCGAGCGAGCTCGGGGTGTGGGGACGGGGAGTCAGGAAGGTCGGCGGAGTGAGATTCCGTTCCCTGGCGCTGCACCGGGTTCCCTACGAGACGCCGGTCGCCTCCCTGCTTCGGAGCCTGTGAGCCCGAAGGCATCCTGACCGAGGGCTGTCCAGCCCCTGAGCGTCTTTTCCAGAGATCTCTAAGTTCTGATCTCGAAGTACGAGGCCCCCAGGGAAGTTTGTGTCTGACCTCCCAGAAGGGTTAGCGAGGGACCAAGGCTGCCGGATCCCCGCCTGGTGTCGTGGGTAGGCCAAACGGGAGCATGGGGGCTCCCAACCCTGAGCCTTCTTCCTCTCCCGTTTCCACTTCCAGCCGGGTGCCACGGTTCGGGAAGCATGACGACCGAGACCTTCGTGAAGGATATCAAGCCCGGGCTCAAGAATCTGAACCTTATCTTCATTGTACTGGAGACAGGTGGCTATGCATGCGCAGTGGACGCACAGGGGAGGAGCGTGGAGAGTGGGGGCACACGGGACCCCCGCCTACGTCCTTAACCTGCTGCCTGGACTGGGAGGAGGCTCCCCAAGGCCCTCTAACCCCTCTCAGACCGGCTGGCACAGGGAGCTAGCTGCCGGTGGGTACAGAGTAGATAGAACTTTAGAAAGCCTGATGCCTCACTAGCCACGCGGGCCTTTTTCCACTCAGGGCTCTCTCCATGGTGCTGGACCCTCCAACTATCACCCCCACACACACCCACGCATAACCTCCTGCCCCCAAGGAGGGAGATGAGCTTTGCTCAGCTTCTACACTTTTCCCTCACTCAGCCAACACCCAGACTGTCGCCACCACCACCCCACTTGCATGACTTTAATCCCACCCCCATGTATTTCTTCCCCTAAAGGCCGAGTGACTAAGACAAAGGACGGACACGAGGTTCGGACCTGCAAAGTAGCAGACAAAACGGGCAGCATCAATATCTCAGTGTGGGACGACGTGGGCAACCTAATCCAGCCTGGGGACATTATCCGACTCACCAAAGGGTAAGTCAGGGCTCCCAGCAGCGACCGCTGAAGGGTGTGGTTAAAAGTCCCTACAACGTTTCTGAAGACTGAATCCTGCTGACCCTCACTCTACTCCACAGGTATGCCTCAGTGTTCAAAGGTTGTCTGACACTCTACACTGGCCGTGGGGGCGATCTGCAGAAGATTGGAGAGTAAGTTCTGTCTCGAGAATTGAGATAAGCACTAGCCGACCCAAGCGGGCAAGTTAGGGTTTACCAGAAGACAACACAAACAAGCCTGTGCCGTGCACACCCCATTGGCGGGATTTGTGTGTGGCCCAAAAGATGGGTCCAAGGCTTTGGCTTTTTTCCTTGCAGATTCTGCATGGTTTATTCTGAAGTTCCGAATTTCAGCGAGCCCAATCCAGAGTATAACACTCAGCAGGCGCCCAACAAATCGGTAAGTCCCTGGGTCTGGAGGAAAATGGGCAGATCCAGCCAAGCAGCATGGTGTTGAGCAGGGTCTGAGTGTGTAATCTGTGCCTTCAGGTGCAGAATGACAGCAGCCCCACTGCCCCTCAAGCTACCACGGGACCCCCTACTGCCTCTCCAGGTAAATAAATCCATTTCTTTCCTTCCACTGGCCCCTTTAAGTCCCCATTCTCCCCAGCCGGGAGAGATGCCTTTCCCTTGTCCCTTTTCCAAGTGTGTCTCCCTGTGCCCTTCGTATGCATACCTTCTGCAAGTCCCAGTAGTGGAAAGATTTGGAGACCCCTCACCACCGACAGAGCTCGAGTGCTCTTCCCTTTTGTTACCACCAGTGAAAAAACAAAAGGAGAATACTGTCTCCACAGTGGCAAATGACTGTTAAGAGCAAACAGGCTTACATGGACCATATTTAAAATACTCTTGTAAGTTCCTTGTAATAAGTGCACATAAACACACTCATATATACATATATATAATATATATGTATATATAAATATATGCAGTCATAAATCACTAAGGATGGGAATATATTCTGAGAAATAGGTATATATATATATATATATATATATATATATATATATATGTATACACACACACACACACACACACACACACACACCCCTTGATTGTGTGACCTACTTTATCCCTAAGCTATGTGACATAACCTATGGTGTTTTTTTCATTCCTTGTCTTTTTTCTTCCTTTTTCTTTTTCTCTCTTTGGATACAGTGTCTCACTCTGTAGTCCAGGCTGGCCTCAAACTCACAGCGATTTCCCCCTGCTTAGGTCTCGCTAGTTCTGGGATTAAAGGCATATGCTACAATTTTTAAATATCATTATATTGTTATTTAAGTTTTCACAACCATAATCCCAGCACTGGGGAGGAGATGAGGCAAAAGAATTGTCATAAGTTCCTATCTAGTCTAGGGTTTAAAGTGAGACCGTGTCCCAAACAAACAACAAGACAATACCAAATCTTGATTTCCTTCTTTACATAGGAGAATTATACTCTGAAATAATAATAGCAAATACAGAATAGCAGGCTGTAGTGGCACACACCCCACGGGGAGGCAGAGGCAGGAGTTCGAGGCCAGCCTGGCCCACAAGAGTGAGTTCCAGGACAGCCAGAGCTATATAGAGAAACCCTGTCTCCAAAACCCAAACCAAAAAAAAAAAAAAGAAAGAATTGTAAATACTTAAGCTGGTAACATGTGATCACGTGGTCATTGATTATAAAGTGATATACCGTATATAATTGTGTGCTATGCCTTTTTAAGGCCCATAGCTCTGTGGGCTGGTTTACACCCACATCACAGCAAACATATTAGTGTTGCATTATGCTGCAGTTGCTATGGCTGCAGTATCAATAGGCAATGGGAAGCTTTTGATTTTGTTATAGTCAGCCTGGCCTACAGAGCTAGTTCCAGGACAACCAGAACTACGCAAAGAAACCCTGTCTCGGAAAAACAAAAACAAAACAAAACAAAACAAAAAAATGAGAAAGAAAAAAATCCATATTTCTATCTATTTGTACTTTATGTTTTGCCTACATGTATGTCTGTACCACATGCATGCCGTGCCCAAGGAGTCCAAAAGAGGGTAACAGATTCCCTGGAACTGGAGTTACAGATGGTTGTTAGCTGCAGTGTGGATGGTGGGAGCCAAACCTGGATCAGTTGGAAGAGAAGCCAGTGTTTTTAACCACTGAGCCATTGCCTAAGCCCTCTGTGGTAGTCATGTTCTGTCCGTTGCTGAGACTGACGGTCACATATCCACAGTCACATCTAATGCTTGTGCTCAGCCCTGTGTCTCCACTCTTAAAATGGGCCACCCAAGCCCAGCAGAGCAGTGCACACCTAGAATCCCGTTTCTTGGGAGTCGCTGACAGGAGGATCTCTGTGAGTTCGAAGCCAGCCTGGTCTACTTAGTAAGTTTCAGGATGGTCAGGACTACATAGATAGAGTCTGTCTGAAAACAAAACAGAAAACAGAATGAGCCACCCACAGTGGGCTGAGTGTTTCCACATAATTAAGTTAATTACAGTCAGGCCCACAGGTCAACCAATGTAGACAATCCCTCATATGATATATGACTGTATATATCGCCTACTCTTTCTGGATTTGTGGAAAACCTCCAATGATATAATAAAAATTGATACCATTTAATTCCATTATAAAATTAGCATCTCAGTTTTCAGTTGAAAATGACTTAAGGGCTGGAGAGATGGCTTAGCGGTTTAGAGCACTGACTGCCTGGGTAGAGGGCCTGGTTTGGTTGGTTCCCAGCACCCTCATGGCACTCAAGACAATCTGCAACTCTGGTTCCAGGGGATTCAGTGCCTTTTTTGGCCTCACAAATGATCAAGCAATATGGTGCACATGCACACACACACACACACACACAAAATACTCTTACACATAAAACAAAAATAAATGTAAAGAAAGAAAGAAAAAGAAGAATGACTTATTGCTAGCTATGACACCACTTGCCTATAACCTTCACACTTGGGAGGCTGAAGTGGGAGGGATCTTTCCATGTTGGTGGCTAGCCTGAACTACATAGCAAGTATCAGGCCGGTCAAGGAGACCCCGCTTCAAATAAATCAAGAAAGAAAGAAAGAAAGAAAGAAAGAAAGAAAGAAAGAGAGAGAGAGAGAGAGAGAGAGAGAGAGAAAGAAAGAAAGAAAAAGAAAGAAAGAAGAAAGAAAGAAAGAAAAAGAAAAAGAAGGAAGGAAGGAAGGAAGGAAGAAAGAAAGAAAGAAAGAAAGAAAGAAAGAGAGAGAGAGAGAGAGAGAGAGAGAGAGAAAGAAAGAAAGAAAGAAAAAGAAAGAGAGAAAGAAGCTGGGCAGTGGTGGCACATGCCTTTAATCTCAGCACTTGGGAGGCAGAGCCAGGCAGATCTCTGTGAGTTCGAGGCCAGCCTGGGCTATAGAGGGAGATCCAGGACAGGCTCCAAAGCTACAGAGGAACGCTGTCTGGGGTGTGGGGGGGGGGGGGAGGGAGAAATAAGAAAGGAAGGAAGGAAGGAAGGAAGGAAGGAAGGAAGGAAGGAAGGAAGAGATATGATGTTGGAACTGAAGGTAGTTCAGTGCCAAGACCTTGGGTTCAGTCCCCAAGATAAAAAACAATAGAAGGCCAGGGGTGGTGGCTCATACCTTTAATCCCAGCACTTGGGAGGCAGAGGCAGGTGGATCTCCGAGTTCGAGGCCAGCCTGGTCTATAAAGCCAGTTCCAGGACAGCCAGGGCTACATAGAGAAATCTTGTCTTTAAAAAAAAAATTGAGCCGGGCGGTGGTGGCGCACGCCTTTAGTCCCAGCACTCGGGAGGCAGAGCCAGGCAGATCTTTGTGAGTTCAAGGCCAGCCTGGTCTACAGAGTGAGATTCAGGAAAGGCGCAAAGCTACACAGAGAAAACCTGTCTCGAAAAACCAAAAAAAAAAAAAAAAATTGAAGGAGAAAATGAAAATAAAATAGAATATTACTTTTGCATGACTATTTTGGGGTTTTTTTAAGAGAATGTTTCATGTAAGGCTGGCCTCAAACTTACTATGTAGCCAAACGTGGCCTGGAATCTCTGCTTTTCTATCTCCACCTTCCACGTGCTGGACTATGTGTGTTACCGTCATGTCTAACTACAAAAATATTTCTAATAGGATGCAGCCAAGAACCAGGCATGGTTGCTGTCTAGCACTTGAGAAGCAGAGGCAAGGAGGGTTACTACAAGTTCTGAGGACATTCTGAGCTCTACAGAATGAGTTCCGGGCCAGCCTGGTCTCCATAGCAAGACCCTGTCTCCAAAAAAAAAAAAAAAACCTTTGTCATCTGGTACTAGAAATAAGAGATGTTTTTCTTGGTTTTGTTTTTCTGCTTTGTAAATCTGTTTATTGTGTATATTTTTTTCTGTTTATTTACTTAGTTTGGGAAGGAGCCCTCATGTGCCACAGTGGGCAAGTGGGCATCAGAGGACAGCTCACGGTGTCAGCCCTCCTTCCACCGTGTGGGGTTCCAGGGAGCGAACTCGAGACACCAGGCTTGGCAGCAAGTGTCCTTAACTGCTGAGCCATCTTGCCAGCCTCATGAGGGCATTGTGGTAGTGATGATGGTGACAGGGTTTCTCTGTAGCTTTGGAGCCTGTCCTGGAACTCACTCTGTAGACCAGGCTGGCTCTGCCTCCCGAGTGCCAGGATTAAAGGTGTGCGCCACCACCACCTGGCGTATGGTGGCTGTTTTAAGAAAGTTCCATGTAGCCCAGGCTGACCTCCAACTGCTAGGTAAAGACCTAGAACTCCTGATCTTCCTGCCTCCAGTTTTCCAGTGGGGGATTACAGGTGTGTGCCGCCATGCCCGTGTGGTGCTGGGGATCAGCTCCAGGGCTTTGTGAGCACCAGGCATCCTCGTTATCCTGACGGCAGGCAGTGCAGGGAGGAAGTTCACAGGAAGGACTAGTTCACAGTCCCAGGTTACACGTGATCCATCACTACAGTGAACGGTACCAGTTCAAGGCCAGGCTGGTCTACAGGCTCCAAAGTGACACAGAGCTCTATGTCACCTTATGTGTATGGTCAGGAGCAAAGGGAGTGAATTCATGCTTGCTCTCCTGTTTGTGCTCAGCTCAGTCTCCACTCTTAAAACAGCGCCACCCACAGGGGGCCGGGTCTTCCCACATCATTAAGTTAATTACAATCTCCCATAGACACACCCACAGGCCATAGACAGTCCTTCTTGCCTCTTCCCATCTCCCTGGGTGATTCTAGGTTGTCAAGTTGGCAGTCATAAGACACTATCACACAAGGCAAGCACTCTAGTATGATCTATACCCCCAGCCCCCAGTTACAAAAGTTTAAAAACAAAAAGATTTATTTATTTTTATGTGTGTAGGTGTCTTGCTTATGTGCATGTCTGTGTGCCGTGTGCTTCCCTGGAGCCCACAATGGCCAGAAGAGGGAGCTGGACCCCATGGAACTGGTATTACAGATGTTTGAGCCATGTGGGTGTTAGGAACTGAACCTGGGTCCTCTGCAAGAGCATCCAGTGCTCGCACTCCTGAGCCATCTCCGCGGCTCCCAAGAGCTCGTTTTTGTTTTGTTTTTTAATGTATAGCATAAAATCTTTACATTAAGTTTTATATATTTACTTTTATCTGTGAACTAAGGAAAGAACTTTTCCTTTCAGTTTGGGCCACAGCTGTCTCAGTCCGGTAGAAGAGAGGGTTGAGTCGGGATGCAGTTTGAGAGCCAGCAGCCTACTGTTCCTCTGTCACGCAGAGACAGTCCTCTGTCTTCATTCACAGAGCATCTACTATTGTCAAGGAGTAAGGCATGGTGCCTGCCTTTGGGGGCTTGTAGCCTCTGTAGGAGTAATGATTGCAGCACTCTGTGACAGGGCCCGGGATTGTGACAGCATACAGTTACATCATCTCACACTCGTGGCTCCATTAGAATGTTTAAAATATATGGGTGTCGAGATCAGCAAGATGGTTCAGGAGGTACTGGTCCTTGACATCAAGCCTGACACCCTGAGTTCAGTCCCCAGAACATCCACATGGTAGACTCTCGAAGGCTGTATGCATGTACGTACACACACACACACTCACACACTACAGGGCGGTGATGAATATCTAAGTGGCCCAGGGGTAGAGGGATTCAATCCCAGGATTTATTTTTTATTTTATCATGGTGCTGGGTATCTGACCCGAGACACCCCACAGGGTAGACCCAACCTCATCTTTTCATTTAAACAGAAACTTCAGGCCCTTCTTCCCATCTTCTCCAGTTTTACAATCACCTTGGGCCTTAGGACATTTTTTCAGAGGTCTTTGAGCCTTGAACCCAACAACTAATTCTAGGTCTGATTCCCAATGATACAGAGATACATAAGAGAAATATATTATACCAGGGTTCATGTAGCCACTTATTATCAGGGGGTCCCATTCATACATGTAGTCCATAGTTTTTTGTACTCTATTCAGGACCGCTTGCCTAGGGAATGGTGCCACCCACAGTGGGCTGGGTCTTCCCACAAAATTAATTACAGTCCCCTATATACACACCCACAGACCAACCAATGTAGACAGTCCCTCACTGCCTCTTCCCAGGAGACTCTAGGTTGTGTCAAGTTGACAGTTAAAATTATCAAGGCTATAGCCCCATCCGTACCTGTAACACATAGTCTTTTCATACGTGGTCAGCATCCATGCTGTTGTGCCCGGTGACAACTCATCTGCTCCCTGGGGCATGGAAGAAGGCCTTGAGGATGAACTCTTACCTTAACTAATTCTGTTTCTTCTCCTACAATCAGCCTCTGAAAGCCAGAACGGGAATGGACTGAGCACCCAACCGGGTCCTGGTGGTGGCCCCCATCCCTCTCACACCCCCTCACATCCTCCCAGCACCCGAATCACTCGAAGCCAGCCCAACCACACACCTTCCGGCCCTCCTGGCCCCTCCAGCAACCCTGTCAGCAATGGCAAAGAAACCCGAAGGAGCAGCAAGAGATAGCAAGAAACGAATCCCCTCCTTCAGCTACAAACCACGCCCCGGGTGTCTCTGCCAGAGAACAAGACAGTCTTCTACTGGGCTGCTGGCTCTGAGATTGGAGGGTGGAGTAGCTGTATTTTAGCTATTAAATTTCCCTGGAGGGGTGAGCAGTGGCCTTATCCACCTCAAGCTCATGCCCCCTTGTCCTGCTGATGCTGCCTGTCCTCTGGGATCCAGGGCCTTCTGCCTGCCCTCCTTCCTCTGGAAAAGACAGTCTGGTTTGTGTGTGTGTGTGGGATATGAGGGTCTAACTGAAATCCCTCCTTCCTAATAAATGTGCCCGCTATGTTCTGGACTCCTTTGTTTTTCGTAGGAAAAGGGTTAGCAGGCGTGCACTTAGGGAGCATGGTGCCCCGTCAAGGAGGCCTAGGGCAAAACAAGCCTGCCCCTTTAAGGTAGTGTCCCTCCCCTCCCCTGCTCCCTGCAGGTGACCCTTGTCCAGCCTTGCCTGCCACAAGAAGGCTGGGTGCCCCTTCCTCTGGGTGTCCTCTCTGTCTCCAGGCCGGCTGTCAGGTAATGCCAACCCCAACCCCCTGGACCAATCACGCTGGTCAGACTTTGATCCCCTGATCTTAAGCCAGGTCAGATGTCAGAGGGGAGCCCTGTTCTGGCTTCTTTTCCTCTGCAGGGCTTCCGCTTTCTTGTTCTTTGATCATAGAGTCGTGAGTGCTGACAGTTAATGCTTGCTGGAGTGGGGAATTGCCCTCTCTTAGGCTTCCCAGGGTGGGGAATTGCTAAGAATAGTTTCTTCCCGGAATGCATCTGGGATTGCTACTTATCTGCCTCTTTGCCTGCCCCCCAGTTTAGGGACACCTTGGTTCAACTTTCCAGGGAATGTGGGGATGGGGTTGAAAACAAACGAAGCTCGGTACCAGATGTAAGGTATGTGGGGAGGGGTATATTCAGAAGGCTCGGGTGGTACTGAACGGGTTATAAAATATTTAAGAGGAAAAAACTGAGAACTCGTGTTCTTAACCATGTGGCTTCCTCAGGGCAGAGGGTGGCCCCTCCCCAGTCAGGGCCCAGTAGAGACTGACTTTTGACCCTCCCATCCCAGGGACCAGTGAACCATTAACTCCTGTATGAACCCTCCCACACTTGCCCCACCCCTGACTCCGCCCCAAAGCAGCTGGGAAGGGGGAACCTATCCATTTCAGCCCTGTATGAAACGTGGCTTCCGTTGCACCTGAAGGCTGAACTCCTGACTCAGGAATCTCGTAAGGTCCACAGTGAGGCCTCCCAGGGACCTGCGGTGACAGCTCTCACATTGCCAGTAGGGGTGAGGCCCTGCATATTGCAGAGGAATAGGGAGGGAGGGGCAAAGTGAGAGGTGGGTCTGGGGGACCTGAGATGTCAGCCAACTCTGGACCAGATGTAGGGAAAACTCTGGGTCAAGAGGCTGCTGCAGAAGGCAGGGGGGAGGGACAGAGGGACCTGCAGAGGCTACTCTCCAGATGAAGCCCCATCAAGTGCCTATGACCATTCTCCCCAGCCCTGAGCTGAAGAGCAGAAACCCTGACCAGACCCTGACACCCTCCTCCTTGTTCTAGGACACAATCCTCAGGATGTTCCAAGGGAAATAGGATTCAGAACCAGAGCCTCGAACCCATACCCCAGTGATGGGGCCCCCAGTGCACCATCTGTTGGCTGGCCTGTGCATGGGGGTGGTCTTGGGCTGGGGTGGGAGGCTCAGTCCCCAGCCTGGGCCCAGCTGAACAGGAACAGAACCACTACCTGGCCCAGCTGTTTGGCCTGTATGGAGAGAACGGGACCCTGACCGCAGGGGGTCTGGCTCGGCTTCTCCACAGCCTAGGGCTGGGTCGAGTTCAGGGGCTTCGCCTAGGACACCATGAGCCCCCTACTGGGCGGGCTGCAGCCCCAAGTGGCGACAACTTCACACACAGGTATTAATCTCTCTCCCAAGCCCCGAAGTCGCATCTCCCAGCTCCACTCAGTGCCTACGCTCTAGCTGTCTAGTGCTACGCTAGCTCCCTGAAATGAATCCCCAGAATTACAACTCCTCTACCCTCCAGCTGCTCAGCATCCTTAAAGGTCTCACCTCTATCGCCTTTTAATTCTCCCCTCCAGACCCTTAGGGCCTTAAAGTCCCTGCTCCTGACACGCATGTCTCCAGGCTGACCTGGTGCCCAGTGTGGAGCCCTTCTGGCTTCTCCCCCAGACCCACAGCGACCCATCCCAGGCTCTCCTACAATGGCAGCTCTGAGACGTTCCTGTGGCTGTCCCTCCATAAAAGCTCCCAGGGCAGGTGCCTGGGAACTTGAGTCTGATTCTTAATCCATCTAACCTAGGCTGCAGGAACCAGAGCTGAGTGTGGATGTCTGGGCAGGAATGCCTCTGGGTCCTTCAGGCTGGGGTGACCTGGAGGAATCCAAGACCCCTGACCTGCCCAGTGAGCCAGGGCCCTCAGGCCTAGACCTCTTCCACAGGCTTCTGCTGCTGGACCATTCGTTGGCTGACCATCTGAATGAAGATGTAAGTCTGACGGTCGCTAGAGAGGGACCAGGAGCCATGGGACCAGGTGGCCTGAAGTATTTGAAGAGTCGGAAATTGAATGGTTACTCAGTATTAGGACATGTTACTCTAATAGTGAAAGATATCGCCTTTGACTTTAGTGCAGGCTGACCAAATTCAGGGCCACACTTAGCAAACACACACTCCAGAGGAGTATCAGGGTAGGATGGTAACGTGGAGAGGTGTCCTGGAGACGACGGCTGTGTCTATCTAGAAAAAGGTCAGTTTTTTCCTTGTTCCACACACACAAGAAGGCAGACAAAGCTGCCAGACTCTCATCAGTCGGAATGCCCCATCAAAAGCAGCAGGGCGGTGGTGGCTCACACCTTTAGTCCCAGCACTCGGGAGGCAGAGCCAGGCGGATCTCTGTGAGTTCGAGGCCAGCCTGGGTTACAGAGTGAATTCCAGGACAGCCACCAAAACTACACAGAGAAACCCTGTCTCAAAAACAAACAAACAAACCAAAAAAAGAAAATTGAGAAATTTATGTTGAATACTTACATTGGATTGAATACTCACCAGTGATTAACATACATTAATTATTAAGTTCCCTTACCCCCTGTCTCTAATGCATGTGCCAGTGTGAGCCAAGGGGGTCCTGAGAGAGAACTGGGACTCTATTGAAGAGCACATGTCAAGATCTGGGCTGTAGTTCACTGTGACTCCCTAATACACGGTCCTCTCCTCAATCCCAGTGTCTGAACGGTTCCCAGCTGCTGGTCAATTTCGGCCTGAACCCTGTGGCTCCCCTGACCCCTCGTCAGTTTGCTCTGCTCTGCCCAGCCTTGCTTTACCAGATCGACAGCCGGGTTTGCATCAAAACCCCAGCTCCAGCACCTCCAGGAGACGCACTGTCTGGTCAGTGAGGGAGTGGGTCCCTTGCTAAGGAAGGGGGCTCCCTGGGGTCCCTTTAGTGTATCTCTGCCCACATCGTGCCTTTGGGCCAGCCCTGGCCTGACACTAGCCCCCATTCTTCCTTCCCAGCCCTGTTTCATAGTGCCCTGGCGGTCCTGCTGCTCAGCCTCCCTACTCCCCTCTCCCTGCTCCTGCTGAAGCTCCTGGGACCTCGTCTGTTGCGACCTGTGCTGGGCTTCCTGGGGGCCCTGGCCGTGGGCACTCTTTGTGGGGATGCCTTGCTACACCTGCTGCCACATGTATGCGAAACTCCATCCTCATATCCTGACCCCCTGGCAGCTAGCCTCCATGGATCCACGTGTTCCTCACCATAGGACCCATGGCCCTTTCTTTCGGCTCCCACATCCTAACTCCTCACCCCTGGCTTCAGCCATAACTGCCTTCTATTGGGACGTATGAGCAAAAGCTTGCTACCCCTTCCCTGGGAGAAGGGGATGCTGTTGGGCATAGGGGCTTCCAGGGTCTGCCCTGATCTACTTTCTGACAGGCACGAGGAGGGCGGCACACAGGACCTGGTGAGCAACCAGAGGAGGACCTGGGTCCAGGGCTGTCAGTGCTTGGTGGCCTCTTCCTGCTCTTCGTGCTAGAGAACATGCTGGGACTTGTGCAGCACAGAGGACTTGGGCCAGTGAGTGACTCCCTTCCTTTCCTTCTACCGCCAAACCCAGAGTCCTAGCCAAGCCAGGAGGTGAGGGGCAGCGTGTGCTTCTGGACCGCGGCGGCTTGGCAATTGCACAGGACTTGTCCACTACGGAGTGGGTATGGGCCTCTTGGCATAGACCCAGGACCTCTGGCCAAATGGCTGCTTTTCTGCAGTTCATATCAACATTAAACAGAGGGAGATGCTGACCTGGCAAGGGGTGTGGGTCGGAAAACATTCTCCAGGTGTTCACTTTCCCAGCCGCTGGCCCACTCTCCCCTTAGCCCCTGGCCCTGCTGCCTCCTCCACCAGGAGGGATGCCCTCCCATTTCAGAGATGCTGCAGGAACAAAAGGGATCTTGGAGAACCAAACCCTGACCCAGAGGATGGCAGTGGGATGGTCCTTCGACCCCTACAGGCAGCTTCAGGTGACTAGAAGAGACAATGAGCACACTGCCAGCCTGTAGCTCCCCCGCTTGCAGTTACCAGCATTTGTCCTGGTTCTTCTTACCGCAGAGCCAGAGGTTCAGGGCCAGAGGGAGAACAGCCAGTCCCCACCAGCTCCAGTCCCTCCTGGGCACCAAGGCCACAGTCATGCGCACCAGGGTGGTAGCAGTATCGCATGGATGGTCCTCCTGGGAGATGGCCTGCACAACCTCACTGATGGGCTCGCATTAGGTTTGAGGCCACGGGAGCCGAAGTGGGAGGCAGGGCTCTGAACCAGCAGGGACGAGAGAGTGACTGGGAAGGTGGGAGAGAGCCAGAGGGAGCTCAGAGAGCAACTCCTGACTTTCTCAAGAGCACCCTTTGATTCTGCTGCTGTCAGGTGCTGCCTTCTCCGACGGCTTCTCCAGCGGCCTCAGCACCACCCTCGCAGTCTTCTGCCATGAGCTGCCCCACGAACTGGGTAGGAACGGCACAAGTGGGTAGCTGGGCTCCAGAAAGGAGACCCACAGAGTAGAACTCGGAGGTTGGTGGACAAGCGTGAGGGGCAGCTCCGACTCACGTCCTGTCCTGTTTCCCCAACAGGTGACTTCGCAATGCTGCTTCAGGCAGGGCTGTCCTTCCGGAGGCTGCTCCTGCTGAGCCTCGTGTCTGGAGCCCTGGGACTGGGGGGTGCAGCCCTCGGGGTCGGGCTCAGCCTGGGCCCCATCCCCCTCACTCCCTGGGTGTTTGGAGTCACGGCTGGGGTCTTCCTCTATGTGGCG